GAGAAGTTGCGGGGCGCTCTGAGGCCGCGATCTCCGCAGGGTGGTGAGCGCCCCCGTGCAGGGCGCTCTGCGAGCCCCAGGCTCTCTTGGGAGCCCGACGCCCTTGTGCGGTCCCCTCGTGGGCATCACGGAGTGTCCAGTTGGCGAGCCCCTCACCTCTTCAGCACACGCGCTCCTTGGAAGTCTGGGCGCCCGGTACGACGTCTGCACTGCAGCCACGTGGTGACCACCAGGGGGCGCCAGATCTCTGCCTTGCGTGGGCAGGTGGCCGAGGGTACCGTGCAAGACCGACCTCACTCGCTTGCATGTTCTCGTTTGGACGCGGGAATCGCCTCTCCGGGCTTTTCTCCTACCCCTCTGGTGGCCGTTCCCCTCCTCCACCATCCCTCACATCTCCCTGGGTGAGCGCATTTCAGCCCTCAGCTTCGATCACTATCCATGGGCCAGCAGTGCCCGTACTCTGTCTGGAGCAGGGGCACGAAAACCCCGCGTAACCCAAGACCCGGCGCTGTCGCTGTTCTCGCCTCCAGGAACAGGGGCACCATCTTGCACATCTTATAAGCTGGAACCCTCAGAGGCAAACAGAACCCCTCCATCTTAGCCCTCAGCAAGAGGAGTTGGGAGCCTTAGGATGGACTTGAACACACGCGTGGCCAGGAATTGTAATCACAAGGCGTTCTACCCTCGACAAGAGCGAACAGACCTTCCCCGCCACCCCATTCCCAGCTGTTCCCGGCAGTTTGCTACAGAAACCGCACAGCAGCCCTGCCCCGGCCCCGCCCCTGCCCAGCCAGCTCCAGGATGCACTGCTGTTCTCCATTTCTTCTGAGCGAGAGGCTTCTCCCTGAGCTGAACTTTGTCTCTTCCTTCCTCCTCATCTTTTCTTCTTTCTCTTCCCCATATTTCCTGCCAGCTGACCCGCACAGTCTTCCCAGAATGAGGTTGGGCTGGTGTGTGTGCTGACGCATGTCGAATACTAACTTTCATGTGTCACTGGGCTACTCTGCGTTCCCGGCACCCAGCTCAGTCTTGAGACCCAACTTTTGAGGTAGGGACCCCAAGTCAGGCAGAGCTCTGGAGAGGGCCTCAGTAAGCGATATCGGATGCCCTGGCAGTCCTGGAGTCTGAGGAGTGCTAAAGAGACCCCAGCGAGAGCGCAGATCTCTCAGCGAGAGAGGCATTCGGTCACTTAGGACCTCATTGAGTTCAGAGGCCTTTGGAGCTAAAGAACTGCAAAATCTATGCAGGGTTCACTCTGGGTCAGCATCGCAGACTTCCAGGGCAGGTGGGAAGGAGGGCCAGGGAGCCAGCCCGGCACCTGCCTCCTGGGCAGAGCCTCACTGGGCAGAATTCCAGGGGTCCTGTGGAGCTAGCACAAAGTTGTCGGCCTCTCAGATGCCATAGGTGGTACCAAGGAGCCAGAACCTAGATGGAAAGCTGACTTCTTTAAGTGGGTACACATCCTTCTGCAACAGGGAGATTTAGAATGAGCCATAGAACAGTCAAAGAGAAGCAGAAGCAAAGCATTAGCATTTATATATTAAATGAAACCTGAGCACTGTGGTATTTCATGTTTCTGGAACATTTAAGAAAGCTTGAGGTTCCCCACATTCAAAAACTTCATCTATTGAGTTTATGAGTTCTTTAAGTAGTACCGAGATTTTGTTGTCAATTCAGACAAGCTAAAGTACTTAGAAAGGAAGTAAAAGATAATTAATTTATGATTTCAGTTTGAAATGTTGAAAATGCTTAGTTGAGTTTGTAGCTGGAACCAAATATTAGGCAGAGGCCCATTAAACATGACTTTAAAATCTGCTAGGCTTATAAAGAGAATAACAAGGTTTGTAAAATTGAACTTGACAGGTTAAAAAATTAGGTTTTGAAGTTATAACGTCAATAAATGGAATCCTAATTATCTCAACTGAATGCAAATCTGAGTGTAGACCCCGTTTCCAGGCCCTAAACCCAGCCCTTAGCCCCCTTTCCTGGCCTCTTACTTGTGAAGCAGCCCGCTCTGCCAGAGCTCGTGCAGGGAGCCCAGGACTGGCCCACGCCTGCACCGTCCTTGCCCCTGCCTGTCTGCAGTGGGCGCTAGAGGACAGGCAAGGCAGTGGTGGGCCCCCTGGACTGAGGGGGCCTGCAGAGAGGAGCCTGCCTGCCGCCAGCAGAACCCCCATGGTCTGGGGATGCCTGCAGGTGCACCTGGCCAGCCGAGGGTCCCCAGCCTGCGGCTGCCTCTCCAGGATGGCCTCTAGTATCCCCGAGTTCCTTTGGGGAGCCCATAACGTGGTTGACACCGCAAGAGAACTGCACAGCTTGTGGCCGTGGGGCTGCTGGGGGCTGGACTGGTGTCTTTCCCAGGCTGGCCACTGTTCCTGGCGTGGGGCAAGGGTGGAGTGCCGGCCTCTCCTCATTTGCCGAGTCGGCATGAGGCAAGGCCCTTCCTGGCAGGGGCAACTCATGACTTTTCTTCTAATGGGGAGGCTTTGGCCGGAGGTCGCCCCGAGGGCAGGGCCCGGGCCACTATCACTGACCATGTCCTATCACTCCCGGGCCCTGCGACAT